AGGGAATTTGAAGAAAGACAGTATCCAGATAATACATATTTATTATGTATTTTTAAACAATTCATACTAAGACTAGTCTACATTAAAAATAGTTTACAAGGCAGAATGCTTTTCACCATTCATTCTGTGTGTTTATGGAACAGACTGCCACAGTCAAATTCTACTTTCTGTTCTTCCTCTAATACAGTGCTCCTGTGTCCCCATCCAACCCTATAAGATAAATTTTCAGCTATGAACAAGAATGTCATTTTCTTTTTATGTCAACAATTTCTATTGATAACATCATATTTTATGCATTCACTTCCTAGATTGCTTTCTGGGGCCTAGAGTACTATATTTAAACCATAAGTGATGAGCAGAAGAAAAACTGAATTTAGCTTTTAAGGTTTAGAGAAACTATTTTGTAATGGATCTGGATGTCTATTTTCATATTTTCCTTTAAATGCATTTAAACTTAGAGAATTTTAAATTTGATCGTTATATGTTTCTCTCTCTCTCTACATATGTATATCTGTATCTATCGATATAGAGAGAAAGGGAGAGAGAGAGAGATCAGCAATTCTGAAGACTAAAGACGTATATCCCCATTTAAAGTAGTATAAATTAAAAATAGAAAGGAAAGCATATTAACATGAGCTCGATCCAACAAATTTAGTTCCTATAAAGGTTCAATCACAAATCCAAGGCTTGATGATAAATCATTAGAGTCTGCTAGTTGTATAAGATCAGTAGTAAGCCATCTGGCTTATTCAGTTTACATCACTGTAATGAGTGTTATTCCAAGTTTTTGGTATTTCCACAGATCATAAGTAATGAGGCTACTGGCAGAGGCTGAAACATAACCTAGTTTCTGGGGGAGATTTTATTTTTTGCTTGTTTCCCATAGCAAATCAAAGTCCGAATGCTGCTTAAAAAAAAGAAAAGTGGTAAGTTCATTGACTTGAAAAGACTAGGGTCTCCAAGCATAGCAATTTGCTGTATTTGTCTCTTTACCCCAGTTTTTGGTTTGTGTTCTCTCTCCACCCATTTCGATGAGGGAAAAAGTCAGGACAACAGTTACCCCTGCATATCTTTCCTCCCCCTAACTTGCTTTCCAATTTTCAAATTTGTTGCAGCAGAAAGTATCTTAAAGGAGAACAGACTTTGCCTTTCCTCAAAATAACGAGAAAGAAGGAACTGTCTGATGCTGGCTCCTGTAGGAAGAAAAGGGATCATTATTGACTCCTCTCCCTCCCTTCTTCACACTCTACTTACTGGTTGCCCAGCTTCACCCCAACGTCAGAATGCCTAGAGTCATCTGGGACTGCAGCTGTCGGCGAGCCCTTTCCTTGAAACAATGGGGCTTAAACGGTAAAGAAGACGCACTTTTACAAGTTGAAATTTAGCCCTGTCTGGGTAGCTCAGTTGGTTAGAGCATCATCCCAATACACCACGGTTTCAGGTTCAACCCCCAGTGAGGGCACATACAAGAATCGACCAGTCAATGCATAGATGAGTGGAACAAACAAGTAAATGTCTCTCTCTCCCTCCCTTCCCACCATTCTTTAAAATCGATCAATAAAAAATATTTCAAAAGTTAATTCGAAAAAATGAAACCATGTACATCATCTTTAAAGTAATACATAAATCTCTTCTCTGTCTCATCTCCCATTTCTCTCAAATACACAGGAAGCTGCCTGAAAGCAACACCTCACTCTAGAACAATGGTTCTAGAATTTGAGCCGGCATCAGAATCACCTGGAAGATCTGCTAAAGCACAGGGTCCTGGGTCCCATGCCCAGGCGCTTTCATTCTGTGGATCTGGGACGAGACCTGAGAATGTGCACGTGTGGCAAGCTCCCAGGCAATGCTGAGGCTGCAGGCCCAGGGCCCATACTGAGAAGCACTAGCCCAGACAAAGTACCATTGCTAGAGAAAGAGAGAAAGATCAAGAATTTATAATTCTGATTTACACAACCTCCAGCTGTGGGACGCTGGGGTGCCAAGTTCTCTAGCACAAGGAGGCAGCTCGCGGAGATGGATACAGGAAGGGAGAGTTTGAGTAGACCTGCTGCTTGAATTATTTCTCTTCTGCTGACCCCTCAAGGTACTTAGTAAAAATATCAAGTAAAGGATAGTGAAATTATGCAGATAAATACGACCATTTTTTTGCCAGTCAGCTCTTCGGATTCCCACTGGCATTTTGGCCATTTGCTCTCTTAAACTGCTCTCACTGCTATCCAGAGTCCTGACTAAGGCAGATTTGGGTTGAGGTCTTGCCTTATTTGCTGCGGGTCCTTCTGCAAGTCAGTGAACCTCTTTGCCTTTATTTCTCCCATATAAAAAAATGGGAATAATAGTCACACCTACTTATAATATCACTGTGCTGAGACAATTTCATCCTGCACATGCATGGACTGGCACATACACAATAATGTAGCTTTTCTCATGGATGGTCGTATCTCTTGGCTTCCTTGTGAGAACAGTCAATATTCAGTATGTTAAATACATGACCTATTTGATGCAGTAGGTTCAGTCATTACTTCAACCAATAGTTACTGAGTAGCTGCTGAGTGTCAGATGTATAATATTACACAAGCATATTGAAATAATACCCTGTCAAGAAAAATGTTTGTTATAAATGTTATTTTGATTTGGAAAATTATGTCTTTATATGAACTTATTTTTAAGAAAACTACTTACCTCCAAAATTGGCTAACTAGGGAAATCAAGAGGGTGTGTTTACTAACAGCAAATTTTGTCTTTACAGACACTAAAATAATAGAATGGAGGAAACAAAGGGAAACTAATTCCGCAGATAACCTTGGCCTTAGATTTTTAAGGGTATATTTTAGACCCTCTTAAAGACCACAAGCCCACTCTTCCTGAAAATACTTGTATTTACATAACAAAACAACAAGGACCAAATTTGGCCAAGAGCATCCTGTTTTCAGTTCACAGTGATGTCAATTTTTTTAACCCATCATGTCAGTCAGAAATTTAATGATCAGTTGGTAATAACAGTGATGTTTAATTCTTCCGTTCTTCCTATTTCCCTCTGTGAATGCTGTGCACTCACACTTCTACCGCATGTATTTGATTTTTCAGAAGATTAATGTTGTAGATATTGAAGTTTCTTCATTTTACCTTCATGATGCCTTTGTTCTCCTTCCTACCAGGTTTGTCCATCCCCAAAGGTATTAAAACCACAACATTTTAGAAACTGAGTGGAGGTGCGAGACAACGTGGTCCAGCCCCTAATTTCACCTAAAAAACCGGAGGCGGCCCATGACATCTGAGCACCCTGCCCAAAACCAAGTGCTCCTGAACTCACTCAACACAAATGTCTTCCTTTCCCATCCCCTGTGTGTTCCCTACACCATTGGCCTCCATATTTCGCTGAAATGGAACTTGTACAAAGAATTCATTATCAGATTTTACAGAGAAAGACCATTGAGCTTCAAAAGCAGTCACTTTCCCCAAGCCAGGTAACAGTGCTTGCTGGTGATGGCAAAGCATACTTACCTTTGTGGCACTAGCAGGTGTCACATGGAGCCTGTGAAGCTATGAGACTCCAAAATACAGAACTCGGGGAAAGAAGAGATTGGACTCTTTAGAAATAGTGCATATTACCCCAAATCTTCTTAAAAACCAGATGCTTACGATTGTGCTTTGGAAATCTACTTGGACAATATTTTCCTTTAATTTTCCCTAAATCATCTTACAAAACCCTCATTCCTCAAAGTTTCTACAGAAATAGAAGTGTTACTTTTAAAATCTGAGCTTCTCTACATGGAAAGAACATTATTTTATCTGAGTTTACATTTCAAAAAGCTCTAACACGTGTCACTTTGCTGAAGTGGTTTTTTTTCCTTTGAAAACGGGACTTGGGTGGGGAGGTGTGACAGCCCGCAGCCTGCGGGAGTCATTTGGCCCATTGTGATTCCAGCGCTTTAGCTGTTTCCCTTTGCGCACCAGTTCCTATCAGGCAGATGCCGGATGTTTGCCGGTGGCTTTGGTTTGTCACCTTGCACTTCTGCAAGAAGCTGGAGCCCTCCCAGCCTCTCTCCTCTTCCCCGCAAGACCTCTTTTGGCCACAGACTTGAGAGATTTGCATCCTGCCTTGGCCAGGGCGCTCGAGCCAGCGTAGCACCTGGGACCTGGGTACGCGCGGGCCAAACCCTGGCACCGCTAGCTTCCCGCGCCTGGACAGGGAGCTGCGGGTCACGCCCTCTCTCTGGAGCCGCTCTTTTCTCTCGGCACAACCTCTTCCTAATCTCTGCTAAAAATAAACAGCTTCTCTCCTAAAACATCAAACACAAACCGTGCCCCCCCCCCCCGCAAAAAAAGTTCGGACTTGAAACACAGAGCGCAGAGAATCGTGGGGTCAAAACAGATGACACTGCCTGCCACCCTGACTCACGTCCTCAGACAGCCCCAGATCCCCGGGCACAGCCCGTTCCCCATGCCCCACTCTCTGCGGGCCACGGGGTGAGCTGGAGCTGCCAAAGGCCAAGCCAGCTCAGGGACAGTGCAGAGCCTACTAACTGTCCCTGGATCACCCAGACCAGTGGCAGGAGGGGAGCTTGAGAGCAGGACTTGCAGAACCCACCGTGGAGAAGAGTTAAACCCACCCTCACGACCCGGAGCGCTGGACAGGGCAGGACTTGGGCACTACGATGCCTCTCTCCACACAGCCAGGACTGAATATACGCCCACGCGCACACACCCACAGACACACGCCTGCACTCCGCCCAGATGGAGTGACAGAGGCGGGGAAGGTATGTAGTGCCCCGCACTGGGATACCTGTCTGGCCTGTCTACCCAGACAGCCGCGCCGGAGGGAGCAGCCGCCCTGGGCTGCTGCACTGATGCTCCCGGGCATCCCACCTTGGAAACCTCTCGACGGCGGGCGCGTGGAGCACCCAAAGTCCCCGGTGCGTCCCCTGCCCCCTTCCCCGCCCACCCCGGCACAACTTCGCGCGGCAGGCGTCCCCCTCGTGCCTGTCTCCCTTCCTTACCCAAATACTGTCGCAGGTCAAGCAGGAAGCGAGGAGGTCCCCCGCTGAGCTGATAGAAGAGGGAGCCCAGGCAGAAGACCAGCAGTGTGGCCATGCAGAAACCGTAGTCCCGGAGGGAGAAGCGCAGGAAAGGCAGCTGGGAGACCCGGCGCTTCCAGCTGTCCAGGCCAGGAGCGGCGCCCCCCAGAGGGGCCCCATGGGGCCAGGGATCTGCGCCGCCGCCGGGATGCTGCTGCTTCTTCTTCATCGCCTGCTCCGCCGCCTCGCACAGTCTGCCCGTGCCAGGAAAAGGTCACCCATCCGCCTGCAAGGAGGAGAGCCCGGCCGGCCGGCTGCACATGGGCAGGGCCGCGCGGAGGGCAGCCCGGGTGGGGGCGGGGAGGGGCCGAAGTTGCCGGGCTCAGGAGACTTTCCTCGGCATGGTCCCCGCCGCGGCGGCCCGAGCGGCCGAGGTGCCCGGCCCCGGCTCGGGGGCGCTGCCCGCGCCCAGCCCGCTAGCGCCCCCGCGCCCCGCGTCCCGCGGCGCCTCGGGCTCGCTCGCGGCCGCCGGGGCTCGCCTCCAGCGCCAGCGTGGACCCCCCGGCTTTGTGTCTGTCGGTCTCGGCGTGTTTTGTCCCGGTTCAGGCTCCTCTAAAAAACGGCAGGGAGGAACAGGAGGCGGACACCAGCCCCTCGCTCCACCTCCTTGACAGGGGTTTTCCTCCTTCCCCTCCCCTTTCCCCCTCCGGCTCTCCGCAGCCCTCTCCCCTCCCTCTTCCCTCCCTCTTTCCGCTCGGGTCTCCGGGTTTCTCTCCGGTGTCACGTTACCGCCTCTGCCTGGGGAGGGGCGGGGTGCGCGGCGATTATTCGCAACAAGGAAGAAAGTTTCTGGGTGGTTTTTTTTTCCTTCCCCCGTTTTCTACAATCTGGCCTCAGTTCCTGCGCCACCAGCGACCTCTTGGGGGCCCCGCTGACTTCCCTCTCGTAAACAGTCACCGGCAGGAAGAAGCACGACTTATTTTCATATATATATAATATATATATATTCACACACACATATATATGTATTTTTTTCATTTCAGAAACTTAATTCTCTTTCCGTATCCCGAGCTGCTCACAACAGGCCGATAAGAGGTACTGGAATAGAGATTCCAGACTTCGCTGAGATGGTAAAAGAGCAAGTGGTGTAAATCGGAATTCGGCACGCCCCGCAGGCCAGCCCCGCGTCCGACTCCGGGAGGAGAAACGGAGCCGCCTCCCCGCTCGCCCCTCGTGCGGCAGCGCCTCTTCCACGGCAGCGAGCGGAGAGGCAAGGGCGAGGGGTGCAGAGCGGACTCCAGGAGGTTACGCCGCTAGCGGATTCCAGGGGGAAAGAGCCCCTACATACCCGTTTCATCGCGGCCTCGCTCCCCTCCAAGGGAACCGCCTGGGCAGAACGGCTGCATCAAATACAGATGCGCGGATGGGGATGGGTGATGCAGTCAAGGGCTGCTCTCCTCAGCCACACTTTCAGTGAAAACAATGTACTGCTATATCTAGAAGCTGTACTACCTGAGGCTTAAGGGACTTGTCCAGGGTCACAGCTACTAGGAATCCGCTGGCTGGGAGCTGCACTCACCCACCCACAGTCGTTTGACCCTCAGCTCACTACACCGAGCCCTCGCAGGACTGCCACCCAGCCAGGGCCCTTTTTTTCCTCATCATTTGCATGGTAGTCGGAAGATAAGATATAGCTCATTGAGCCCAAGCCACGATGAGCAACGGCAAACCTCAATTTCTGGTGCCTGTCATCTCTGGCTCCCTACTCACTCTGTACTGTACACTCCAGTCACTGACGCCAGATTAAAGAACCAGGAGCCAAGGGACCACGGTGGCTCTATGACTGTCCCGAAAATTTTTATAAAATTAGGGAGCTAAAAGATTTTCTATGGAAAATGAAGGAATTAGGATTCTGAGGTCAATAGCTCTCAGTTCAGGAATAATTTGGTTGAACCCAAATCCGTACGTGAGTTCCCTCTGGTCCCCAATTTGAAAGCATTGAAAAGACACATAGCTCATAAGGTGCAGAGACATAAATGAAGTGGGTGGTGCTCACACAAATTCACACATGCATGCACACAAATTCTGCTTTCCAGCTTTAAGTTGCCACTGCTCACTTTCTCAGGGATAGGAAGGCTGCCGAGGGCCCAGAGACAGAAGGAAGGCTCTTTGTCCTGTCACAGAAAATCCTAAATAGAGTAATAATGATTTGTCTCACATTTGTTGCACAAATCAGAGGTTCGGTTAGATTAACACACACGTTTTAGAAACGTGAATGCCCCTGAGAGAATTAAGCCGATCAGTCATTGCCCACTAATGTGATCAGCACACTGAGTAGCCAGAAGAGGCTCTCCATTAATAATTTTTCAGTTAATGAAGAAGGACTAGGATATGGAAGGAGCAAAGCAATTTCCATATTATTTCAAAACCACCTTTGACAAATTGGACTTGTACCTGAGGCCTGGCGCCATAATGTGAGTGTTTTTCATCAGAAAATAACGTGCAAGATGTTCTGTGCTCACAAGGCCCACCCCACGTCCAGAGACTTCTTTCACAGAATGCATTGAGAAACCTCCCATGCTTTCTCTTAAAGACAGAAATCTGAACAACAGTGAGGTTATAACATGAAGGAAGGAAATAAACATCTCAAAAAAAAAAAAAAAAAAAAGGCACTGGCCTTTATGGCTCAGTTGGTTGGGCATCATCCTGCAAACAGAAAGTTTTCCGGTTTGGTTCCAGCTCAGAGCAAATACCTGGGTTGCCCATTCAGTCCCAGTTAGGGGCAGGTACAAGAGGCAACCAATCGATGTTTCTCACATCACTGTTTCCCTCTTTTTCTTCATCCCTTTCCTTCTGTCTAGAATCAATAAAAAGAAAAAAAATTTAAGAAAACTAAGTATGCGAATGAGAGTTTGTTTTTTTTTTTAAGTTAGGAAAGTACAAAGGGGCAAGTTCACACTCAGAAAAAAGAAGTTGATGATGAAGAATTTTAGAGGGGAAAAAAAGGCTAGTCTTTTAAAATTTTTGTTAGTGGACTTGTTGCCAAAAGGAAAAGAAAAGAAAAAAACCTCATGGAAGAAAAAAAAGAAGGATAGCCATATAAATACAAAGAAGTTTCAAATGGGAAAAGAAAATGCTTTGTATTTTTCACCCAACAAAAACTTAAATGTTTGGATAAAACTTAGTTCTCTGGAGTCCCGTAAATGTCCTTTCAAAAAACCCTTTTTAATTTAAAGTAGTTATGTTGATGAATCGTATATTTATTCAAACCAGTTAATAAACCTACTGACTAGAGTAATTTGTGCACAATATTTATTATTACTCTTATATTGAATATACTTTATTTAACACCTTGACTGCTTTCCAATATCTTGGGCTTCCTCATCCCTTCTCTCTCCGGTGACTTTTCACCTCTCCCCCAAGCCACTCATTTTTAACAACCACACCCTCGGACCATTATCACCTTCTGTCCTCCTGAGTAGCTTTCTGAGTGCCCACACTCTAACAGTTTTTCAATCTTTTCAAGAACCCCAACTTTCTAATCCATCACCCATCTTGCGTGTTTCCTTCCTTCTTTATCCACTTTTGATTCCTGATCCAGCATTCTGTGTCCCATCTTGCAAACACCACTTCAGTCTCTTATTTCTTTTTTTCTTGTATGTATAGTACTTGTCTGGCAAAACCCTGTTAAATACAACGGTGCCACTGGACAGGACTGTAGGAGGACACACAGCATCCCTAACTGCTTCACTTTCAATAAACACAAATTCAAATGGATGCTCACTCAATACTGCCCAGAAATTCCACTCTAAAATGAGTTCTCCACTCCTCTCTCTTTCTTCAAGCCTCACCATCTTTGCCCACTGCTTTTCATCCCTGCAATCTGCGCTGGGAACCTGGCCTCATCCATTACTGAGAAAACAGAAGCTCCCTCATTTCCCACCTATCTACCCCTCCGCTTTCCCCCTTCCCTCCTGTTTTATTTACTGTGTCCCTCCCTGCTTCTAGCAAGGCCAACTTGCCACCTCCCTAGCCTCTTGATTCCACCCACCCCAGCCCAACGCCCACGCATGTTCTCCCTTAGCCTCTGCATCTCTGTAAATCATGCCAATATCAAGTCACTGGGGCGCAAAAAGCAGATGTCTTCTTAGGTATTCTCCTTCCCTAACCCTGTCTCTGAATCATCTGCAAATCATATAGGCTCTACTTTAAAAAAAAAAAATCCAGAACCTGACCTCCTTTGCTACCACTGTGGTCCAGACCACCATCTCTCTCACCTGCATTATTGCAATGGCTTCTACGTCGGTTATATTTAGGTTTAGCTGTGCGAGCCAAACCCAAAATAACAATGGCTTAAACAAAATGGAATTCTTTCATGTGAAACAAGTCCAGAAATAGGCAATCCAGAGTTGGTGAGGCATCTCCATGCTCCCATCAGGGACCTATTGGGGCTTTCTGTTCAAGCCAGTGAGGGGCTTCTGTTAAGGTTCACCTCATGGTTCAAGATGGCCCCTGAGGCTCCAGCCATTATGTTTATTTCCCAGGTTGGCAAGAGGGAGAAGCAAAAAAAAAGAAAAGAAGACTAGAGGAAGTCTTCCATGAAGACTTCCATGGAAGACTTCCTTTTAAGCCACGAAGTTTCCTTATAAGCAAGGTTTCAAAAAAGTGCTATCAATTGTCTTCTTAAAGTTCTTTGGCCAGCTTACAGTCACGGGAATGTGTTCGGTTATAAGGAAGGACCAGGAAATAGAGACTTCAGCTGAGCAGATTGCTGCCACCCAAAGCCAGAGTGCTATTACTCGAGGAAGAAAAGACAGGTGACTATCACGTGGTAATGAGCAGTCCCTGCCAGTCCTATGTGCTGCTTCCAGCCTTTCTTTCTATATTCTGATTCTCTCGCAACAGCAGAATGTCACCCCTCTGCTCACAACTTGTCAATGGCTCTCAACGCACTCAAAGTAAAAGCCAAAGGCCTTCTGGTGCCCTTGAAGGCCCTTTGTGATCTGGCTCTATTGTGAACCTGACCTTGTCCCCTATCTCTTTTCCTTATTTGTCCTGCTCCATTGTACACCAGACAAGAAAACCTCACCCCTCTCTTAGGGCCTTTGCATTTGTGTCCCCTCTGCCTAGACAGTTCTTTTCCCAGATCCCCACAAGGCTTCTCCTGTGTCTGCCTTCCAGCCTCTGTGTAATGTCACTCATCAAAGGAGTCTTCCCTGACTACCCCATACAAAGCACGCACACACATCTACATTCTTTATTCCTTGGGCTTTCTTTAATTTTTCCATAGGATTTACCATAACTTGAAATGTTAGTATAATTTGTTGGGTATCTCTTCTCATTTCACAACAGGCATCACAGGAGCCGGGATTTTGTCTCATTCCTTTGCTGCTTTTTCCCCATCACCCAGCACAGTGTTGACAGGTGGTTTTCACTTAGTGGGTCAGATGTCATTACTCCATGATCAGCCAATTAGGGATAAGAGGTGGAGGAATGGAGAACAGGTCTGCATTGTGCTAGAATATTCAACAATCGTCAAAGGTTGGTTAAAGTTCAACTTATATATATTTGTTGAAATATATATTTGTTGAAAGAATGAAAGAGAGAAAAAAGAAAGAGAGAAAGAAA